CCATCCTGAAATTTCGAATTGCGTTTTGACTTGGTTTGAAAGATACGATTTTTTTAAAACAGAAATTTTGACGTGCACGTTTAACAAGCTGGAAACAGTCAGAAATTTGCACAATTCTTCTGAAATTTTCCACATCTTCAGATCCGCGAGTCGTCTAAAGAAGGTAAAAATTTCAAGATTCTGCTTGCTTTATTTTTAAAGGTACAATTTTCAAAGGCAATGCCGCATTTGATTGAAGACAGCAATTTTGAGTCTCTCTGAGATTTTGGGTTCTGGAGATTTTTCCAAACTTTTAGCATCTTTAGAGTCAAATGTGCCCTCAAGACGGCGATTTATTGAAAGCAGCAATTTTCATGTTCCCGTTTGACAACCTGGAAAAAACACAAATTTTCCCCAGTTTTCTGCAATTTTACATATCTTCAGATTCGAGTCATCTAAAGAAGGTGAAAACTTTTCAAAATTATGCTTGCTTTAGTTTGAAATATACGATTTTTACAGTAATAACCGCATTTGACAGAAAAAAAAAAAAAATTCAGTCTCTTGGAAAAAGTAGCAAACATTAAGATTTTGTGCGATTCTTACGAAACTTTCCCCATCTTTAGAGTCAAATGTCTCCTCAATACGGTGAAAATTTGAAATTGCTTTTTGACTTGGTTTGAAAAATACGATGTTTTTAAGACACAAATGCGTTTGACCTAAAACCGAAATTTTGACGCGCAGGTTTAACAAGCTGGAAAACATCAGAAATTTGGACCATTCGTCTGAAATTTTTCAGAAAAAATCAGGATGTTGGGCAATTTTTATGAAATTTTCAGAATCTTTAGAGACTAATGTCCCCTCAAGACGGGGAAAACTTGAAATTGCTTTTTGACTTGGTTTGAAAAATACAATTTTTTGAGACAAGAATGCGTTGAACTAAAAACAATAATTTTGAGGCTCACGTTTAGCAAGTTGGGAAAAATTAGCATTGGGTACGATTCGTCTGAAATTTTCAGCAGCTTGAAAGCCGAATGTCACCTGAAGGCAGTGAAAATTTGAATGTGCTCCTTGCGTTAGTTTTGAAGTTTTGAGGTTTTTTTTTAAGACAAGAACATATTTGACTGAAAACAGTAATTTTGAGGCTCCCGATCGTTTGGCGCCATTGTTCTTAAATTTTCAGGATCTTGAGATCCCAGTGTTTTCTGAAGACGGTGAAGCTTGACAAGCATGGTTCCCTTTGGTTTAGTTTGGACAATTTTTTTAAATGCAATAAAGCATTTGTCTTAAACCAGTAATTTTGGGACTCACGTTTAACAAGCTGGGAAAATCGGAATTTTGAACAATTTTTCCTAAACTTTCAGTATTTTGAAATCCGAGTAGACCCACAAAGAAGACGGCAAAAACTTTAAACTTCTCTTTACTTTAATTAGGATTAATTAAGATTCGATTTTTTTTTTAAACCAGAACGCATCTGACTGAAAACAGTTATTTTGAGGCTTAGGTTTAACAAGCTTGGAAAAATCATTATTTGGCGCGATTCTTCTGAAATTTTCACTATCTTCAGACGCGAGTATCTTCTAAAGGCAGTAAAAATTTCAAGAGTCTCGTTGCTTGAGTTTGGAAGACACGATTTTTTAACTACAAGAACGCATTTGACTAAACAGTAACTTTGAGACAAGTTTAACATGCGGGAAAAAAATACGGGTTTTGTAACATTTTTCTGAAATTTTCAATATTATGAAATCCCAGTATCTGCTAAAGACAGTGAAAATTTCAAAGGCTTTATCACTTTAATTTGGAAGATACTATTTTTCTACAGCAAAATCGAATTTGACAGGATTTGTGCCTATTTCTCAATTTTCTAATAACGTATTCATTGCTTTAGACTGTGATCTATATTCTACCAGCCAAATTTTTTAGCATTCTTCTTGTGCCATAAAAATCTTCTTTTTTAGCTGTTTTCGGTGCTTCGATTTCTTGATCCTCTTCCAGGTCTTAAAAGGGTTCTCACTTCAGTTTGATCCAGCGTTTTAAACCCTCTCTATATTTAATATTTGTTATTGTGTTTCGTATTATCTGTTTTTCAATTGTATTTGATTTATTTTTTATGTCAATGCAAGTATTTATTTGGAAAAATATTTTTTAATGTTTCATTTACGTTTTCTGTTAACTTTATGTTTAATGGGGAAATCTATTACAAAAGTATTGTTCAGGACGAGTTCGATATTAAGATATCGAAAAGTATTTTTCATGCCTTCATTTTACAGTGATTTTTATATTACTCTGGACGATCAAAGTTCTAAAATGAGCCCTAGTAAATGTAGCGGTTTTCTTGTACATAATGATTTATTTTTTACACAAAGAAATTTCATTTAAACTTTTGATTTGTTATCCGACGTAAAACTCGCACGCAAACCAGGTGGGGAACGGCCTAAAAACGATATGAAGAGTTACAGTCTCACAGAGGAAAAAAAATGTAACTTTATGAAGAAAAATGAACCGACGAATTTGGGTGATTATGATTGATGGCTGCCCCAACTTTGACAAACTATGATAAACGATTATGGCCATACAGTGGGAAAGGATGTTTTGCCAGCAAATAAAGTCCAGTTTTTGATCGAAAAAATCGCAGTTTTTCTGCGGTTTTAGTGTTCCTCTGTATCTTGTTTATTTTATTTTATATTTAGGCCGTAAGCAATAAAATTGAACGCTTGGAAATAACCGTTTAAAGATTTAGAAGTCATTTCAGAGATAAAATTGCGATCTTTCTTCCAGTTTTTGAAAATTTAAAATCAGTCAACTTCTCAAAGAGTTAAAGACAGTTGAGGTTAAACTATTTTGAGAGAAATACTTTTGCTGGAATTGAATTTCAGCTTCGTTTGCATATATAATTGGGTTAGTTTGAGTTATATTAGCTTGCAGCTTATTTCTTTTGCCAAATTCTAGGGGTTTTGACAACACGCTTCAAAAATTATCAAAAAAGACCAAAAAAACTCTATTTCTTCAACTTTGTGGCGAATCAAAACCGACTCAAAACTCAGCCTCGGTTTGAGCTGAAAAATCTTTTTAGAAACTTTAGGGTTTGAAGCTCCGTTTTCCGGTGAAATTCTAGAATTTGTGCGAAAACGATTAAAACATAAAAAGTAGCTCTTTTTTGCAATACTTGAAGAAGAAAATTATGTTTAAACCACAGCCTGCTCTGAGCTGAAAAACGGTAAAGTATTTAGATTTCAAAATGCTTCCGCTATTTGAGCTGTAGCTCCTTCCGCTGGCCGAATTTTAGAAATCTGCAATATTCCTGTATCTTCCTCTTTTCTCCACTGTTTGAAGAATCATAAAAGGCGAAAAACTGACCTTGCTTTAAACCAAAGCGTATTTTCGATTCTAAATTTCAGCATTTTTTTGAAATTTCATTTTATAGCATCTTTCGCTTGCTGAATTCTAGTGATCCTGAAAACTCATTTGAAAAATAAGTATCTTCTCTTCCTTCCTCTCATTGAATCAACCAAATCCGCCCGTTGGCGATTTTAATTTAAAAAGGTCCCCCCTCTACTAGCTTGTAGCTCTACTAGCTTTCAATTGTAAAACTATTTGACAGGTTAAAAAACGATTTGAAAGAGAAACATCTCTTCTTTTTTCCACTCTTTGAGGAAACAAAATCGACTGAACACGCAGCAAGTTCGTTTCTGGAGAATGTCAAAGTTTTAAATTTGAAAAAGTCCCCGCTATACTGGCCAGTAACTCCTTTTGATTGTCCATTTCTTGACATCTTAAAAAAATGACTTGAAAGTATGACCTCTCCTCTTTCGTCCGGTCTTTAAACAACAAAAATCGGCGAAAAATGGAGTGTTCTCGTCTGCAGAACATTAAAGTTTTTAGCTTGAAACTCTCCCCGCTTTACTCTCTAGTGGTTTATTGCCTTTTCCGAATCCCAGTTACCTTAAAAATCATTTTTAAGAGCAACTGCTTCTCCTTATTCAATTCTTTGATGAAAAACAATCGAAGAAAAACTCAGCTCGTTTTGAACTAAACAGTATTTTAGTGCTGTAATTTTAACATTTTCTGGCTTCATAAGCCTGTAGCTTCTGTCTGTTCCCGAAATGTAGGCATCTTAAAGATACATTCGCATGGTAAATACCAGCCTTTTCTTTGGCCGTTTAAAAAGTCAGAATCGGCAAAAAACTGAGTTCGTATTGAACTAACGAGAATTTTGGGTTTTCATTTTCAACAGCTCTCTGCTATCTAAGCTTGTAGCTCCTATACCCAGCCAAATTTGAAAAACCTTCCAAGCGCATTTGAAAGATAACTACCTCTCCTTTCTTCCCCTCGTTGAAGAATGAAAATGGGCATGAAAACGTAGAAGTTATGACCTGGAGAACGTGGAAATTTCGGGGTTCAAACACTCCCCGCTATATGGGGCTCCTCTCCCTTTCCAATCCCCAGTCACCTTAAAAAATAAGTTGAACAAGAAAATGGTCCTATTTTTTGCGTTCTTTTAAAAAATACAAAATCGACTTTGGAATGATAAATGGCTCCTCCCTTATTGAGTCTCTCCGTTTCCTTGAAAAACCAGAAGCCGCAAAAAAGAAAGCAAGTTCTGGTCTGGAGAGCGTTAAAGCTTTAGCTAAGATATACAAGCCGGTAGCTCCTCTACTTTGCCCAATCCTGCGCATTCTAAACCATCAGTTTAAAGAGAACAAATTCCTGACTTGTTCGTTGTTTCAAACCCCAATATCCTCAAAAACTCCTCAAGTTTTGCGCTGAAAACTCAACCAGGAAAAAGAGGCAGGTGAAGCTAATACAACGCAATGTGATTACGTTAGATGGTAGTAAAAGCCCCCAAAGTGCGCTTTGCTGTTGCACGTGCCAAAAACAACAAAACGGAACATCGTCACGTGCCTTAATTGATATGGCGATCTGAAATCGGGCCCGCCAAAGTCAATTAGCGTGTGGAATGAGTTGAATATGCATAGGGGCTGATTTTCATACGGAAAAACCCACTGGCAATGTCATGAGAAAGGTGATTTTTCAAACAGTTTTTCAGTTAATGTTTGGGAACACGGTAAACATCGGGCAAGGGTTGAGGCTCGAATAGATCAGCCCCAAAGCGTTCAAGCTGGAAGTTTGGCTGAGAAGCAATCCAGCCATACTCGTGGTTGGTTGTATCGGGAAAATTAACTAGCTTTTGTGGGTCTTGTCTTTTCTCTTCCATGATGTGCGTTAGGAACTTTGATTCGGCACTTTTTTCCTTAAGTTTCTGCTCCAAACATCTACAAATCTCCATTAAAAGCTGGCATTAGTCCAGGAAAGTGAGTACCGGTATTCATCCAGAATCCAGCCCCAGTTGGTTTGCCAGTTTTTAGCCGAAGCGTCCTCAGAACGAATGGAAGTTTTCCACATCTCGTCCGCTTTCATGATGTCGATTACCTTCTTCTCCGACTTTGGAATGGCCATTTTTGCGCCTCAAATGACAAAGCTTGATGTTGACAATGAGTTAATCAAATCAGGAAAAAATCGATATGAAATTACAAAAATAAACTAGTGAATGCGTGACTGAAACTCGACGCCCACAAAAACCGGCACGAAAACATTGACGACAAGATTTTATCGAACTAATAGAATAGACTAGAATTTCCCATCGGATTTTTTGGTGGTTGAACCGAATAAATAAATCATGCCGTGGTACGAACGAAGAGTTTTTGCCTGAAAATCCTCAGTCCCAACTTGGGGAATCACTGGCTGCAGCCACGGTAATCTATTATGCAGTTAAGCCATATTCCACGTCCCCAGTCCTGGATAAATTGGCAAAGTTTCCCAACTTTTAGTCGAGAGCATGGGAAATGGATCGTTTTTAACTTTACTATGGCAAAAAAGCTGGAATTTATTGCAGTGTTTTCCTATAAAGGACAGCTTAATGTAGCGCCCGCAATTTCCAAATAGAATTAGCTGATCGAGTTTATTGAGCAACTGGGACTTTCAAACCGATGCCCGATTTAAGCAATTCTACTGCAAGTGATGATGTAGTGGAAATTTCCAGGAAAATCGCATCTCCGCCAGCTAAAAATACATTTTCATTCACTTCAGCATTTCTACTTTTAGGAGGCGGATTACGTTGCGAATTTGCCACGTTTTTGGCTAAGCCCCGTCCCAACATATGGACAATAACTATTTGTAAAAATCAACGACCTTCGGTTGGAAAACTGTTATTCCGAGCTGTGAAAACACCTTGAGCGTTTTCTCGATATTGACAAGCTATTTGTAGCAGGATGTTTTGCATGTTTTTCAAATTAAATTTAACAATTTACCGCTAGGTCAAAAAATAAAGGGAATTTATGTAAAAAAAATTCAATGAATTCATATTTCAATCTGAGGAAAAATCACCTCATCAACGTAACAAATCGTTATTTATATATTGGCCTAATTAGGTTTTATCAGAAATGTTTCACTAGAGGTTAACACGAAAACAGACTCTCAGCCCCTAAAGAGATTTTGACTAAAATATGAAGAAAACTATTCAAATCAAAATGAAAAATTTAATTTAAAGGGATAATGGAAATTTGGAGGCTCATAGAGCAGGAACGGTTAAAACTACATAAAAGTCATATAAACCTTTTTGGTAGAGCGTCTCAAACGAAATTTAGAGGTAAAAATGACAAATGTGGAGCGGCCGTCACTAGCTCCAGTCTCCAAAACGGTTAAAACTAACGAAAAAATGAGTAACACACTTTTTATAGAGCGTCTCAAAAATATTTTCCTCAGTCACATTTACAGTCAAAATGAACGCGGCGAAGTTCGAATGTTCATATTTTGAAAATGGTTAAAACTATCGAAAAAATCAAAAGAACCAGATTGATAGGGCGTCTCAAGCACTATTTTTTCTTTGTGGGTTTTAAATTAATATCCCAACCATAAAAAACGTAGAGGCAAAAATGGCAAATTTTCGTTCGAGAGTCGCATTTTGAAAGCCCAAACCTCCAAACCGGTTTAAGCTATCGAAAAACTCAATAGCGCGCTTTTTGTAGAGCGCTTCAAAAGGCATCTTTTCCTTAGTAGGTTTTAACTGAAAGTCCTAACCTTTACAAAGCTATATGCAAAAAATACAAATTTTATGCGGCGATTGAAGTACGAAAGTCCATATTTTCAAAACGGTTAAAACCATCGAAAACATCAACAGAATCAAATTTATAGAGCGTCTGAAAAACTCTTTTCTCTTGCGAGCTTTTAGCTGAATATCCTAACCTTAAAAACAGGCAAAATTACAAATTTTTAGCAGCCATTGAAATTTGAAAGCTAAAATCGCCAAAACGATTTAAGCTGTTGAAAAACTCGGTATAACACTTTATAGAGCGCGTCAAAAACTATATTTTCCTTAGTAGGCTTTAACTGAAATTCCCAACCTTTACAAAGTTATAAGCAAAAAATTACAAATTTTATGCGGCGATTGAAGTTTGAAAGTTTATATTTCCAAAACAGTTAAATCTATGGAAGCCATCACTAGAACCAGGTTGATAGAGCGTCTGAAAAATTATCTTTGCCTTGTGGGATTTTAGCCTAATTTCCTAACCTCAAAAAACTTGCTTGGCAAAAAAACACTTTGCAAAAATGACAAAGTTTCAGCGAGCGTCGCTTTTTGAAAGCTCAAACCTCCAAAACGGTTAAAGCTATCGAAAAACTTTGGGTCTTTTTCTTAGTAGGTTTTAACTGAAAATCCTAACTATTACAAAGTTATAAGCAAAAAATTACAAATTTTATGTGGGGATTAAAGTTTGAAAGTCTATATTTCCAAAATGGTTAAAACTAGCAGCGGAAACATCAACAGAATCAGATTGATAGAGCGTCTGAAAAACTATCTTTCTTATACGAGTCTTTAGCTGAATATCCTAACCTTAAAAAAACTTGGAGTGAAAAATGAAAAATGTTCAGCAGCTAAAATCGCCAAAACGGTTAAAACTGTTGAAAAAATCGGTGCACACTTTATAGAGCGTCGCAAAAACTAGATTTTTCTTAGTCCTTAGCCGAAATGGCAAATTTGCAGCGGTCGTCGAAATTTGAAGGCTCAAATCTTCAAAACGAGTAAAATTATAGAAAAAATCAGTAACACACTTTTTATAGAGCATCTCAAAACGTTTATTTTCCTTAGTAGCTTTTAACTGATAATCCTAACCTTTTCAAAGTTATAAGCAAATGATAACGAATTTTACGCGGCAGTTGAATTTCGAAAGCTCAGCTCTCCAAAACGTTTAAAACTATCGAAAACATAAATAGAATCAGATTGATAGAGCGTCTCAACAGCTCTCTTTCTTATGTGGGTATTCAGACGAATCTTAACGTTAAAAGGCTTACAGGCAAAAATTACAAATTTTCTGCGGCCGACGAACTTTAAAAGATACAATCTTCAAAACGGTTAAATCTATCGAAAAACTCAAAAGCACACTTTTTATGGAGCGTGTGTAATTTAATCTTTCCGTTAGTAACCTTTAACTGAAAAAGCCAACCTTTGCAAAGCTAGAGGCAAAAAATATCAAATTTTAAGCATCTGTCGACCTTTGAAAGCTCAAATTTACAAATCGGTTAAAACTATCAAAAAGTCAATAGCACACCTTTATAAAACGTCTTAAAAAGTGTTGTTTTTAGTGGTATTTAAATAAACATCCTAACCTTTACGAAGTTAGAAGCAAAAAATGACAAATTTTAAGCAGCAGCCGACTTTTCAAAGCTACAAAACGGTGAAAACTATTGGAAAAATCAATAAAACCAGATTGGTAGTGTCTGAAAAACATTCGTTCCCTTGCCGAGATTCAGCAAAAAATTTTAACATAAAAAAGCTTAGAATAAATAATTACACATTTTTAGCGGCCGCCGAACTTTGAAAGCCGAAATCAGCAAAACGGTTAAAAGCACCAAAAAAATCAATAGGACACTTTTTATAGAGCACCTCAGAATTTTTTTTTTTTGTTTTTACCCAAAATCCGCACATTTACAAAGTTATAAACAAAAAATTGCATTTTTTTCTCCGATTGAGGTTTGAAAGTCGATATCTCCAAAATGGCAAAAGCCAGCGAAAAAATTAATAGAACCAGGTTGATAGAGCATATGAAAAACTCCGTTTCTCTTACTTGGTTTTAGCCGAGAATCCTAACCTTTAAAAAGTTAGAAGCAAAAATTAGCCACTTTTCGTATCCCTCCAAGTTGAACAGCGTTTAACTCGAAAACCGCTGAAAAAATCCGAATAGTAATTAGGACTTTTTCAAGAGAGTGCTTTATAAACTATATTTGCCTCGTTAACTTTTTCAAAAATTTTCTAACATTGAAAGAGATTTTCAAGAGATTCCAACTCCGGGACATTTTTAAAGATATACCGGCAAACAATGAAATAGCGCAACATTGTCTTCATATAATGTTTTAAAAGTGATGCAAGTGCAGTGTTGCGAAATCCATTGAAATATCCCTTAAAAACTTGAATTTTCAACATAATTAATAAAGAAATGGTTAAGTGAGTATGACAGCGCTACATAAACATACTGCTTAACTTCCGAACTCTGACCCGGAAAAATCAGCAACTATTTTCGAGCCATTTTTTTCCGGATTTATCAGCATAATTCCCAGGCTATTTTTCGAACTTTCCACGAAATATTGCAGTGTCTTGATAGTGACACCATAAATATATTTAAACGTGTACACAAATGCGTGTTTATTGCTCGCAGTTTCCAAATAATATTTTGTCGATTTGTAAATTATACTCCAGCACTTCCAAGAAAAACCACCGAAAAATTTATTTCGATATCTGTTATCCACTATTATATTGATTCTAAATTTAACATCGCAACGCTTGCCAAAAATCTGAAAATACATGCATTTTACAAGTTTCAGCGGCGATTTTCAAGCGGTTTGTCTGATTAATGGTACAAAAATGAAAACTAGGAAACATTTAACTGATTTGCCCAAAACTACGCCTCTGGATGTTTCAGTTAAACGTTTCCCAATCGCTGAGACACTCTCACATTTGGAAAACTGAAAATTACGATTTCAAATGGCAACTTACCAAATAAGCGCTTTGCCAATATGGATTAGTTGTTCTTTGCCAAGGTTTACTTTTTTTTTAACTTAGATGACGTTTTGTGACGATTTTGGCTCAATTCTCAAAAAAAACTATGCAAGTCCTGCTTCCAGGCAAGCGAGCAAGTTTTTGAGTTGCTTTGAGTAGTAGCTTGCAGTCAAAACACACAAAAATGGAAACTTTAGTGCAAGTTCCTCCCAGAATCGATCAATCGAACAACATATTTACTCAAAAAATCAGTGCGTGGGGCGATTTGGAAAAAGTAAATGACGCCGTTCAGTGGGTGTATTGAACAGGCAATTTGCGTTTTCTTCGAAAAATAAATAATGACGTAGTAAATAAACTTTTGACGCCGTACAAATGGTATAGAAATAGACGCCGGATTTGCAAAAGTCAACAACAAATATTGGCAAGAGTTTGTCTATTGCTGGGCATAATTC